AGGGTCTTCTCCCAGAGAAGTCACATAAAATGCACTTAACTTATCCAGTGTCATCTGTGGCAACGTGTGTGAGATGTATCTGCCAGGGAAGCTTGTGAGAGACTCAGTGCCCAAGGTTTTTGTTACGGGTTAGTTACATAGGCACCCTCTGTCTGTTGTTGTTGTTATGTGCCGTCGAGTCAAACCCGACTCGTAGCAACCCCTCCTTGGGTTTCCGAGGCAGTATCACTACAGAAGTAGGATTGCCCAACCTTCCTTCCGAGGAGTGGCTGGTGGTACCAAAATTCCAGACTCCCAGAAGAAAGCAGGTGTTTCGCATGAACCACGTTGTACAAACGGTTTAGGCATAGTGAGCCACTCTTATCAGTTGGAGAAAGGTGGGAACACTCCCAAATTCTAGTGTCCAAACACCAGTCAAAGGCCAACCTTGCAAGCCAGCCTTTCTTAGGATTGCTGTTCTTTTCTGCCTCCTATCTTACAGGGTAGCTGTGAGGATTAAATGAGATAATCACTGCAGAACATTTAACCCAGTGGTCAGCATATGTTAAGTGCTCATTGAATGTTACTAATTAATGTGATATTAGAAAATTTGCTTAAGGAAACAACAGACTTGGCCCAACAGCAACAAATTTAATAGACTCTCAGAGCTGAAGGACCTTTAAAAGATGTCTAATCTACTCTCTTATTTTACAAATGAGTAACCTGAGACTTTAAAGTTGAAGTGATTTGCCTAGTGCCATCCATTTTAGTTTGTGGGGAGGTGGAGATGTTCTCCTTTAAAGGGAGAGACTTCCTGAGAAACACCCATTGTGCTGCTGAGCATGTGAACAATACCCTCAGATAGATAACCTTTAGTAAGCATTAAATAAGGATGGTTCAGAAACAGCCCTTGCACCAGCGTCTGTCTCTAATTTAGAGATTGGATCTTGTCATTTGAAATGGTGTGAGCCTTTTTATATCAATGGGTTTCAGTTTGTGGTTTTATTCTATGAAATTTGATAATGGATATATTATAGTCTTTGCCCAGGTTGGTGACACACTGATATCAGGGCTGGCCTATCTCTGATTTGTGTTGATGTGTTGTTTCCACTTTGCATCATCTGGAAGAGTGAACAGGCAAAGAAAGAGCTTTCATTTTCTTCAGAACAACTCTTTCTAATTCAGCTGGGACTGAAAGAGGAAGGGTTGATTTCTTTCATAGTCATTTCAAATGAACCCTAGATTCTATTGCATGACAGCAAAGGTCTCTATAGAGAGGTGTTCCTTTGCACTGAATCAGGGTAGAAAGATAGTCCTAGGAAGATGTATTAGGGATTCTTCCCAGAGAGATCAACTTTCTCAAAAAAAAAGTTTGCGTTTGTACCAAAATGTAACTGTTAATCCAGAGATGGATGAATCTCTGATTCAGTGTCATTTGACTATCATAAAGTGTCATACTTGTTTTTTTAAGTTGAAAATGTTATAGCATAAGCTTTTTTGGTCATAGCTTTATTGAGGTATAATTCACATGTTTTATAGTTCACCTATTTAAAGTGTACAATTTAATGGGCTTTAGTGTATTCACAGAATTGTGCACTAGTTATTTTTAGAATCTTCTCATCACCTCAAGAACAAACTCTGTACCCTTTAGCCATCACTCCCCAAACCCTACCAGTTCTTCCAGCCCTAGGCAACTGTTCTGGTTACCTGTTGGCCACTCTGACTGGAATTATACCACAAATGGGATGGCTTTAACAAACAGGAGTTTATTCTTACAATTTGGAGGCTTTAAGTCTGAGTTCAAAGTGCCAGGCTCTAGGAGCTGGGTGAAAGCCCCTCAGCCTTGGGCTTCAGCTCTGGCTCCTGCTCCTGGCCCACTGAAGCTGGAGGCTTTTCTTCACTCAGCTGCTGGCTGCTGAGGCTGACAAACTCAAGGTTGAGAAATAGCAAGGCACAGTCCCGATGATATTACCACACCACATGGCTGGCCGTTTAATTCAAGTCCCCTAAAAGTCCCAAGATCAGCAGAGCATGGCAGGCTGCTGAACAACAACTCAGCTACATGCAGGGTTCAAGCGTGCTATAAGTTGGAGACCATTCCCAAAGCTGCTGCTTATATATGGGAATCAGACCACATCCCTAAAGCAGCTATTCAGCTGCTTGTGGTAGATCCCATAGAGTTTATTGCCAGTCTCATCATGGGGAAATAACTACCACCAGTTGCCCAGCCACTGGACTAGGCCCAGCCAAGTTGACACACAACCTTAACTACCACAGCAACCACTGATCTTTCCGTCTCTACAGGTTTGCCTAGTCTAGACGTTGTGTGTAGGTGGAATTGAAGAATGTGTGGTCTTTGTGACTGTCTTCTTCCATTTAGCATAATGTTTTTGCATTCTGTCCAAATTGTAGCATGTATTCCATTCTTTTTTATAGCCTAATAATAGACCACTGTATGGATAGACCACATTTGTTTGTATAGGAGTTTACGGAATCTTATAGAGTTGATATCCTTTACTAAATTATCAGTTTGCCAAACTTTTCATATTACCAATTACGTTTTCTCCAGGCAATTATGAATCAGACATCACCGTCAATGCTGTGGTATTCTCGTTTCATAAATGGTATGTGATTTTCTAAGTGTTAGTGTCACAGAAGCCACCATCCTTACTGTGGTTGAAGGAACAAGGACTGTTGAAAAGAACTTTATTCTCTTCTGTTTAAAGATGTCTCTTTTGACAGGAACCACTTCTGAACAACAAGTTTTTTTTCCCACAGGTGGGAGAGGACTCTTCAGTATGGAAGAACAAAGGTCAAAAGAGGATATGGTTGAAATTTTACGTTAGATTAGTGTTTGGGGTAAGATACACAAAATTTTGTTCGTCAGATTCCTCTACTCTAAGAAGAAGGTTTCACAAAGCAGGCAGTGAACTATCACACCTTAATTATCCTGTTGTTTTGTTGTCGTTATGTGCTGTCGAGTCGGACCTGACTCATAGCGACCCCTCCATGGGTTTCCCAGGCAGTCTCATTATGGAAGTAGATTACCCAACCTTCCTCCTGAGAAGTAGCCTTATTATCCTAGGAGGTATTAAAGAAACTAAGGAACTTTGGAAGTGCAGATAAATTATTTCTCTTTGTACTCATAGTTGAACCACCAACTTCATTGGTCAGCAGCCAAATGCTTTAACCACTACACCACCAGGGCTCCTAATGTGTACACCAAAGACCAAGAATCCAGGGCTTCCAACTGGTTCAGTCATGGCCAGCACAGTGAAATCAAAATAGACTAAATTTTTAAATGCGAGTGTACTGGAATGGGAAAAATTACGAGTCGAAGCTCTGAAATGGGAGATTCGGCAGAGGCATAGTGAGCCCTTTCAGAAGCCTGATGTAGGAGACTGGATTGTTGCAGGACTGTTGAGCACGACACACATTCAAAGTGGAGCAGTTGACCGCCATCGTGAGCCAGGCACCACTGTTTCCGACTCTGCCAGTCAAGAGATTCGGCTGCTATACAACATGCATGCCGCCCTTGTTTTTTAAGAGGGAGGTTAAATTTCTAGCAGGATGTCAACCTGTAACTTTTCCTGTTCTGGTTATAATTCTCGTGTACCCACATTTTACAAGTTCGGGGCTGTTCCAATTTTACTTCTTTGGCCATGACTGAACTGGAAAGAACTGGTTTGAAGCCCTGCCAGTCCAGAGGTACTGTTTTGCCTATTTTCCTGCCATTAATTTGTAAATTGCACGGAAGAAGACTTCTGGAAATGACATCTCACTGCCTGCCTTACCAGATGGGCTTTTCTCTGTACATGACTTTAGTGGAATGAAGGATGCATATTAATTACTTTTCAGCCTCCAGAGAGAGTACTCTGGCTTTTTGTCCCCAGTATTACCCGTGACGTGTTTCTTGAGGGTATACAAGTGTGAGGAACCCGTGAGTGTGACTAGTGAGGACGCAGGAGAGAATTTTGGTTTCCCTTTGTGACAGAAAGTACAAAATAGATTCTTGATAGTTTCTTGCAAAGACTTAGAGCATTTTTTTTCCTTTAAATTTTATTTATTTCATTGTTTTTGAGAATATACACAGCAAAACATACACCAATTCAACAGTTTTTACATGTACCATCTAGTGACATTGATTATATTTTTCGAGTTGTGTAACCAAATATTCTTACCCTACCCATTGCCATCTAAGGTTGGACTTTGCACCATTCAAAGGTGCAGACTATTTTGTGGTAATGCTATGAGGATATATCAAGATTTGAATTTGTGCAAGTAAGAGAATTGAGGGCTATACCTACCATGATTAGAATTAGCCTAATGCTTTCTAGTTGACTCAGTGCAGTCTTTTGGGAATTGGACATTGTATCCCAAAAAGATAGTGTTTCCTAGGACTTGGGGGACTTAGGACATGGGAACCAGTAAAATGTGCTAGAAATTTCAGATTGAATGTAAACTGGGCATCTCAATGATAAGAATATGATCTTGGATAAGATGGGGCTGGCATTTGAATATTACTAACTGCCATATGGCTTGGAGAGGGAATCTGTGCCCTTTGGAAAGGTGTGGATGGGGGGTTTGTGTATGTATGTGTATTGTATATGCCTGTATGTGTGTGTGTGTGTGGGGGGGTCCCAGGCTAAGTATTGCTTGGAAAAGGCAACTTGTGCATAGAAGCTGCTGATTGCTCTGAGCTAGTCTGACTCCCCAAGACCTCTAGGACTTCTGGCTCCTCAGTTTAGAATGCAGTAGCTTGGTTGTGTGTAGTCCTGGTCTGGGGGGTAACAAGTAATAGCTGCCCTGCTGTGAATGGTGATTATAAGAGTTAGATGGCAGCTAGAAGAGGGTAAAAGTATACACTGATTAAAGTATCCATTAAGTAATAGGACCTAATTAATGCTATCTGGGGACTATTGGGAGATGGGAAGAGGAAAAGTCAAAGGTGACTTCTTCTCTCCACTAGCTTGGGCTTGGTTTGCTTGCAGCACTGAATCTGTGTTCTTTGTAACAGGCGACGGCCATGTCTGTGGACTGTCTTGGGCAGCATGCAGTACTTTCTGGGTAAGTGAGCTATCAGAGTTCCTCTGCCATGATTTTTGGGAACAAATTGCAAGTCAGGAGATTTCTGGGAAAATGAAATACTCTTACATTTAAGAATTACAGTCATGGGTTTTAAAAGCACAGATATCCTAGTGACCTCAAGGGTACTTGTAGGGATTATTTGCAGTTTGTTTTTGTCTGTCTCCTAACAGCAATGAAGATCCTTAGAAATTTTAGTGACTGGTAGTTTGATCTTGAAAATTTGATTTTCTGTTTATTGCATAGACTCTTCCAAAAGATGCAGTCTGATGTGGTCTACCAGGTAGTTAGGATGGAGGCAACCTGGGTTCTCGTTTGGCAGTGCCACTAATTATGGGCCCTTGAACATTGATTCAGTTGACCTCCCTAGACTTCAGTTTTCTCATGAAGGAATTGAACTCTATAATTTCTATAGTGCTTTCTGGCTCAACATTTTTATGAGTCTGACCATTAAGAGCCACATTTGCAATTTGATAAAAATCCTACCATTGTACCTAACTAAAAAACTCACTGCCGTTGAGTCTCATCTGACTCATAGCGACCCCTCCTTGGGTTTCCGAGGGAGTATTACTACGGAAGTAGATTGCCCAACCTTCCTTCCGAGGAGTGGCTCGTGGGTTTGAACCGCCAGTCTTCTGGTTAGCAGTCAAATGTCTTAGGCACTACACCACCAGAGGTCCTGTAGATTACCCAAGTATGATAAAATTCGTGGTCAGGGTCAGGGAACCTTTTCCTTTCCTTTTTTTTTTAAACTTTTTATTGTGATTTGGGTGCAGTTTTACAAAGCAGATTCATTTTACATTCAATAGTTCATGTATGTTTTGTTTCATGACATTGATTTCAATCCCCACAGTGTAACAGCTCTCCTCCTACCTCCTCCATGTAGTTACCCCTTCCCTGTGTCTTCTCAACCATGTGTTCCTGCCTGCCATCTTTCTCCCTGTGCAAATGCTGCCCTTCTGATTTCTCCTGGTTGACTGTTCTAAGGAGTACATCTCCCTGATATAGTTGTTCAGCTCATAGGCCTGTCCTTTGGCTGAGAGTGGAGCGGTGGGAGTGAGTCCAGTTCCAAGCCTGAAGAGTGATTCATGGCCATAGTCTCCGGGGTTTCATCAGTCTCTATCCAACCTGGTCTCTTGTATGTTTTGGTATTTTGTTCCACATTTTTTTCCCCACACTATCCAGGATCTCCAATTTTGATCCCTTTCTGAGTGGTTGGCATTGGTAGCCAGGCACCATCTACTTCTGCTGGTCTCACTGGTCTCAGGGTTGTGTAGTCAGAGGTTCCTGTAGTCCCTGGGTCCATTGGACTAATTATTTCCATGCATCTTTAATTTTTTTCAGTCTTCTTTACTCTGGAAGAGGAGAGACCAATGGTTGCATCTTAAATGGCTGCCTGCAAGCTTTTTTTTTTTTTTTTTAACTTTTATTGTGATTTGGATGAAAGTTTACAGAGCAAAATCACTTTCCATACAGCAGCTCACATATACTTTGTCTCATGACATTGACTGCA